AAAAAATAAAGAATAATAAAGTTTGTTAGATTTCTGTAAAAAGTGTTTGTAAATCTAACCATAACTATGGCTTTGAATTTAAAGATTCAGGGCCAGAATTGCCATCGCATTGAATCATTGCAACCTATTGAAGATGCACAGCACAAATTCTTGCAAATATACTTCATGGGCAATATGGAAGAACAACTTGACCGGCGTCAAGAAATCAACACAGCTATGAAAAGAGCAATTCTCCAAGATTTGCAGCAAATGCTTCATGAACATCATGAATTGGTCAAGCTGTTCAAGACTGCTTTAGAGCGCATGCTAAGAGATGACTATAAAGTAGTAATCAGAGTAGATAAAAGACCACCTGGAACACATAAACGCACATTTAATGCTCCAACAATCGATGAAGTGGCAATCCTGATTGTTGGTAAAAGCTTGGAAGCACGCGATATTGTGCTTACACGACGCAGTACTGGGCAACTACAAAGAATATCTGAAACGCACCGTTCATATGACGCTTTACAATACCCGCTGATGTTTTGGCAAGGAGACGATGGATATCACTTTAATATCAAAATGATTAATCCATTGAATGGTAAAATCATTGTTTTTATTTTAACTTTATATACATTTCATTCTGTTTGCTTTTGGTAAGAGTCGTAAACCTATTAGGGGTTCTAAAATACAATTTTTACTGTATTTGTTTCAGGTGAGGAAACTGCCAAGAAGGTTAGTTCGATGAATTATTACGCATATCGTTTGATGATTCGTGAATATTCGGACAATTAAGGTAAAATCTTATAAAGTGGTGTTTTGCTTATTTTTTTTCGGTACATGCGAAATTATGAATATTTCGTTTGTGTCTGATTTAAACCAAGTAGATTCTGTGAAGTGTTCTATATTGAATATGAGATAATCTAGTTTCTTGTCTGCTTCTTGAGAGGTGGTTAAATTATTGAGCAATTCTATGTTTTTATTTACTGCGTCTATTAAGTAGCTTAAGTCATTGTTTTGTGTTAAATTGTTAATTTTTTGCTCTAATTCTTCTTTGTCGGTTTGGTCTAAAGTGCCAAAAAGATATTTGCTTACTGTTCCTATTGCGTTTATTAAACCTCTTTTATTTCTTTTAATAATT